CAGACATGTTTGTTTCCACTGTTTTATTGTGTGCCTGTCGCGATAAGCAATTCATTGACTTATCGTACGATAAATAAAAATGAACTCAATAACTTTTCTGACCTCGATAAATTGCCATTTACATGAGGATGTGACTAGCAGTTTGAAAGTATGTACTTGAATTATTATTATATATTATCATTATGTCAGTGGTCTAAAATGGTCATACAACGGTGCCGACAATATTATCGTTTATCGCAATCATTTCCGGGAAAATGTATCCAACAAAATAAATTATCGTGAGAGGCCTATACATGAAACACACACACACACACACACACACACACACACACACACACACACACACACACACACACACACACACACACACACACAAACAAATCTACAGACTTACTCCAAACTGCCACATATATTAATTAACACACTCTCACTCTCATGTACTCTTTGCCTCTATTTTGGCCTAGTAGAACAATAAGCAGCAGACTTTTACTTTTTATCATTTCTCCTGGATCTCAGATCTGCGCATGCGCCATGCGGGTCGGCAGTTGCGGCTCCAGAGTATTGGTGTTGGGTAATCTATGGTAGGGCTAACCCATACAGTGGTGGGGCTCAAGGCTAACCCATACAGTGGTGGGGCTCAAGGCTAACCCATACAGTGGTGGGGCTCAAGGCTAACCCATACAGTGGTGGGGCTCAAGTCAGTATTCACAATGTAATTACATACACGCTCCCCCCCGACAGTGAAACGCCACGCGTGAGGTTTAGATGATTTCCCTGTCTCAATCCAAATTGAACTGTATGAAATAAAAAGGCACATTTGTCTTGTAATAAATAAAAAGGGCGACCTGGAGCCAATCCTGCAATTTCCCCACAGGTGAAAGAGTTGACATGTTGAAGACCCAACCCCTGCAGGGGGGTCTGGGGGGATTATCCCCCAATAAAATACAGATTCTGGTACTCTCTTGAGTAGAAAAATAAATACATCTATTACTACACGACATATTTAAAAAAATGAATGCCATTTTAGTTTTGTGTGACTTTGTTCTGAAAGCTGAACCTGCTGCTCCTCACAGAGAGAGGAGGGAAGAGGCTGAATGACTTTACATTGTGGATAAGGGTGCATAGCCCCCATTGTTCTGTGTGTCCAAATGAAAGTCAGCCCACACACCTATCATCAAACCGTGGGGTCTTATTTCATTACGTGTTGATTTCTATCAACACAAGATAGAGAAAGCAATGGAAAAAGAAAATCTCCAACGAGGCGTTCTGGGGCAGCATAGACACGTCTTTTCTGTGCCAGAGTTTTACTCCCTACAGGGTGTACTTTAGGGTTTGTGACTTTGCAGACTGTTTACACGCATAGAAAGCTACATAACACACAAGGGGACGGGTAATAACCGGAAAAGCATGACATGGGACCTTTAACTCTTTTTAGGGTGCAGCTATATGTTTTATTTATTTCAAAGTGGGCCCATTTGAATTATATTCATTTTGCCGCGGCGGTACCACGATGTTACGAAACTCTGCCTCCCAACTTTTTCTCGTAAAAAATAATTTTACTTGTAAAAAGTACATTATCCGTACCGGATACTAATTTCAGCCGAGTTTTAGTCTCAACCCTACTTCAAATACTCGCTATTTCACTCGGGCAGCTCTTAATTTCCAACCCGCGGCTGGCTAGCTAGCTCGCTAACATGCTAAAGATTTCCCTAAAACTAACTAACGTTAAATATGAAATATGCATCAAAAATGGTGGCGACAGACCGTCTGAGACAGAGACTAACGTTAGATGATTAATTTGCATTGTCCGCATGCGTGTTACATACAATGCCGAGGCTGACGCATGTTATCAATTTAATGCAACGGATTATTCAGAGTTTACAAGTATTATTTAAAGTTGAAGTTTTTGTAACTCGTCTTAATTTGTTGTTATGGGCAGTGGGTTCACTCAGCATGATAACATTTGCCCTCAGGACTCAAGGTACTGCACTCAGATGGCTCCAGTCCTACCTCACTGAACGATCCCACTTCATCTCCCTTAGAGCCTTCTCAGTGGCAGCTCCTAGGCTGCATCTCAGGTCGATTCAATGGAATCCTTGCGTCCCTCACTTGCGTCGTTTCCCTGCGTTTAGTCCCTCCCACCAGGAAGCATGGAGAGACGCAAGCAAACCACGAGAAGCAGGGAAATGAGTTTTAAGAGCAATGGGACGTCCTTTCCTCCGGAGCGTCACGTGAAGCCACGTCCGTTTGTGATGACGCCGCACAGCTGATCGTCTGACAGCAGCTCTGTCCCCGTTGTTTTCACAAACACCCCCGCCTCTGTTAGTACACATTTACTGACACAAACATTTGTATTATCTGTTGTAGACCCAAATACATTAAATAAAAACTCATTCTCAAAAAAGATAAACGCCATTCTTAAAATGTATAAACGAAAAAAGCGATCATGAAAATGTTTCCAATAAATGAATGAAATGATTTTTGTCCACTTAGTTGTTCAGATATATCACATATTAGTAACTGAATGATGCATTCATTGAAACAGAACACGGTATGAACTGAGGAGTGAGTCCCGTGAGTTTCATGTGTTTTCTTCACTCCGCTGGGAAACTGCTCTCATGTCAAGAAGCATCAGATCAGTGCGCTGCATCGTCCAATCAGTGAGCGATACACAGTAAGGGGGCGGGGCGAGTGTCTGAGGATTTCATCGGAGGATGGTCTGGTGGTTCATTTCAAACCTTTATTTAACCAGATGGTCCCATTGAGATCATAGATCTCTTTTTCAAGGGAGACCTGCACCTCGGTTATCGCTCCTCGCTCCTCGCTCCTCGCTCCTCGCTCCTCCATTATCGCTCCTCGCTCCTCGCTCCTCGCTCCTCGCTCCTCGCTCCTCGATCCTCCGGCAGAAATAAGCGCCATGGGACGCTACTCAAGATGGCGCAGACAAATCAACTTCCGGTGAGACCGAGGACCGAGGAGCGAGGAAATGAAAATAACAGACCTAGATTCCACCGGGTCCGTCTGCGCCGCGTTGCGGTTTTGGTCCGGCCTCCTCCGGCGTCATACCCTACCAGGCGCGTTTCAGAAGCATTTCAGAAGCGGAGCGTCTTGCCTGCCGGCTCGCAGTTTTTGTTGATTTGGGCATATTTCCTGGACAGGCTACTTTGTACAGACAAAGTTAATAATAACTGTAATATTCCAGTTATAAACGACATGAATCAAAGACGTGTTGCTGTATTTTAGTGGTAAAAAAAAAATGCCATAATTATTCTATATATATAATTTACACAGTGCCTGTAAACCGGAGGAGAACGCTGGCATTTCTCCTCCTACTTGAAAGACTACGGAGGGATAGGGTCTGCAAAATTAGTTTGTGTGTGTATATATCTATATATCTATGCTACATATGCTCTGAAGGTTCCACTTCCTGCCTGCCCGACCTTACGTTACGGCTGCGCCGCGATACAGGATATAGGATTCGATCCTAATTTTAGAGGAGCCCTGCGCCGAGCCGCTTCTGAGCCGTAACGCGCCGCGTGTGGTGGAATAGCACCCATTGACTAGAGTGGCCGTGATCGCCGTGATTGCCGTGAGCACCGCGGCGCAGCCGTAACGCGCCCGTAACGCGCCCGTAACGCGCCCGTAACGCGCCCGTAACGCGCCGCAGACGGACCCGGTGGAATCTAGGGCTTAGCCTTTCCTAGCTTACAGTACCCACAACCCCTGGAAGCAACCAACAGCTAGCTAGCTAACCTTAGCTTAGCTTACAGTTAACATGTTGCTCTGGGCTAGTAGAAAGCAACTGTTAGTTATTTTCGATGTACTGTAAGCTAGTCAACTATCAGCTCAGGTAGTATTTTTGCTACGGTAACATTAGCGAGCTAACTGTAACTTAAATCTGCAAACAGAAAGCTCAGCACTTAACCGGCCAGATCAGACCGGAGTCTGCATGAACTCGCTGTTATCCAATAAAGACAGATGTTTTTACGTTAGCTTCACACTGCTGGCTGTAGGGCAGCTGAAGAGAGGACAGGCACTTTGTAGATACACTTCACGTCTTCACAAGTCCTTTACATAGAGAGCAGCTGATATAGGACACTCGAGAACGTTTAAGTTTTACATTTTAATTACAGTCTGTTCACACATCAGCAATACAGATGGATTTATACTAGAGGTGTAACGGTATCCGTATTCGACCTGAACCGTCACGGTTCATGCAGTCACACGACGAATACGCCTTTTTTTATGAGTGGGGAAAAAGTCTGTCACTCAGGGCAGTATCCATTACACTATATATAATCCAGGGGGCGGTATTGCGCCTACAAGCTGTTTGCCAGCCGCCCTTAAACAACAAATGAAGAACAAGAAGAAAACAAAACGAACAAAATACAAGAAGAAGAAAAATGAATATGGCGATTTCAGATAACACACAGGAGCTAGAACCCACCTGCTTCTTTGAAATCAGCTGTGTGGGAACATTGCTGGTTCCCTGTGGACTCCAATAACGAGCCAATAGACATGAAAGCCATGAGACCAAAATAAATAATGGAAGCTATTTCCATATATAGGCTATGCGCCTTTGAAACACTGTCTTATTATTTATTTTGTAATATTTTCAAGACATTCTTTTTAGTTTTACAGCTTGATGAAAACGTTTTGTTTGACATCAGCCATTATAGATAATACGGCCATCTGAGTGTGTGTGCTACGGTTTGGGGTTTGTTTTTAACTGTGTAATACAGTTCATTATTCAAAATGTTAGAGTTCCTTCTTTTTATACTGAAACTTGCACTACTGTTCAAAAATAAATAACAACAACCTTGGAATTATGCATTTGGGACTTTATTTAGCTTTTTCTTGTTGTACCGAACTGTGAATTCTGTGAACCGTGACACCCCTAATTTATACCACTACATGGTTATATAAAATGACTTTAAATTAAACATATATTTCATCATTTTTCTCCAGCGTGCCAATGTATGCATCTGTTTCTGTTTCAGGGTCCAGCAGCAGAGACCAGACTCTCCCAGCTGTCTGTCCCTAAAGAGCGACCGGTCGAAGGACGACTTCATGAACTTTAAAGGACGACCTCCATCTGCTGATCAGAAGTAAGCTGTAACTCATAGTAAGAGTCCGGTTATGATAGAATAAAACCAGTTTGTATAAAGTGTTGTCAGACCCCTCCTCATGTCCAAAGTGTTTAGTTGTGAACGTCCACACTGGGAGGGGCAGTGAAACTCCATCTGAAAACTCAGGCTGTCCAGAAGCTGTTCCACCATCTCACAAACACTTCTGATGGAGGAGACTGAGCCTTCATCAAAGTCACAACCAGCTCTACTGCCAGGTGAACCCTGACCCCTGCTATGGTGCTGGAGGTGGAGCTGGGGGGGTAATGGGGGCTGGTGTAAGAACTGTCCCTAGGTCTTTCCTTTCCTGATGAACAGCTGTTAGCCAGCTGCAGAGTCCAGTGTCTATCCACACAGCCACGTTTCAGGAAGACCAGAATGAAGGATGGACAGAATCCTCTGGTCTTCAACAGTAGCTGGAAATAAATACAGTGAAGGAAATAGTTATTTGATTCCTTGCAGATTTTGTAAGTTTGCCCTCTTACAAAGAAATGAACAGTCTATCATTTTAACGGTAGGTTTATTTTAACAGTGAGAGTTAGTGAAAGGGCCTACTTATAGACAGCCGTAACATGGGTTTCTTCCCGGACATGTACAGAGTGCCTAGTGATGGACCACTACGGCCACTTTGTATACAAACTGCCTGATGCCGGCAGGAAGCGGCCGGGGCGCTTATTTGATCTCTTTATGTATTTAAATGATTATGTGTTAATGCCTATGTAAAGCACTTTGAATTCCCTCTGTGTCTGAAATGTGCTTTATTAATAAACTAACTTTAATCTTACAACAAAAGTAGTCGGTATGAAGTGAAGGCAACGCCAATGTATGCATCTGTTTCTGTTTCAGGGTCCAGCAGCAGAGACCAGACTCTCCCAGCTGTCTGTCCCTAAAGAGCGACCGGTCGATGGGCGCCTTCTTAGACTTTAAAGGACGACCTCCATCTGCTGATCAGAAGTAAGCTGTAACTCATAGTAAGAGTCCGGTTATGATAGAATAAACCCAGTTTGTATAAAGTGTTGTCCGACCCCTCCTCATGTCCAAAGTGTTTAGTTGTGAACGTCCACACTGGGAGGGGCAGTGAAAGTCCATCTGAAAACTCAGGCTGTCCCTAGCGATGGACCACTACGGCCACTTTGTATACACATTGCCTGATGCCGGCAGGAAGTGGCCGGGGCGCTGCACCAACACGCTTTTGGCTGTTGGGGGTGCTACGTGCATGCGGGCCCCGTACGCTTCAAGTACCCCGAGTCCACTTCGTGGGACCCCTTATTGGGGGCTAAAGGCCCATTCTGCCCCAAAACTCCCACTTCGCCCCAAAATGCCATAACTCAAGGCCGGTTTCGCCCAAAAGTCCCGGAAATGGCTGGGCGCTCCTAAAACACCCAGACCCAGAGGGGTCCAAAGCAGGTGTGCATGGCCCCCAAACGTTGTGGGTGTGATCCAGAGGGCCCAATGTGTCCCTGGACCAAGTTTGTCGGCCATGCAAGACTTCTAGAATTTTTTAATTGTCCAATTCACTCCATTTTCACACCAATAAATCATAGGGTGGCCAAGATAGCACAGTCCAGGTGTCACCTTCCTGTCTCAATGCATTGTTGAGATACAGTACTCTACACTTCAAATACCTGAGACAATGCAGTTATGTATTTGAAATGTACAGGCTCATATCTCCCATATGCCAAGGGATACATGCACGTGACTTTAGGTAAGTCACCGGTGAGGCACCCTCTCTCAATGCACCGACTTTCATCCAAATCAGGGTAACTTCAATGTTGAGCTACTGTCTTCTGTCTCCTTGCAGAGTAACACCAAAGCATAATGTTTCCACCTCCATGCTTGACGTGGGGATGGTGTTCTAGGGGTTATAGTCAGCATCTCTTCCTCCATACACGGCGTCTCCAGTTGATGCCAAAGATGGCGATTCTGGTCTCATCTGACCACATCACCTTCTCCCAAGCCTTCTCTGAATCATTCAGATGTTCATTGTCAAACTTCAGACGGCCATTCATGTTCCTTCTTGAGCAGGAGACCTTTAGGCGCTGCAGGATTTGATCCATTATGGTGCGGTGTGTTACCAATAGTTTTCTTGGTGACTGTGGACCCAGCTGCCTTGAGATCATTAACAAGTTTCTCCCGTGTAGTTCTTTGCTGATACCTCATCTTTCTCATGATCATCAATACCCCACGGGGCCAGATCTTGTGTGGAGCCCCAGACCGACGGCGACTGATGCCCATTTTGTGTTGCTTCTATTTCTGAATAATGGCACCAACAGTTGTCTCCTTCTCACCAAGCTGCTTTCTGATGGTCTTGTAGCCAATCCCAGCCTGGTGCAGGTCTACAATATCACCCTGAGGTCCTTAGACAGCTCTTTAGTCTTGCCCATGGTGGAGAGGTTGGAATCTGATTGATTGATCTGTGGACAGGTGTCTTTTATACAGGTAACTAGTGGATATTATGAGTAACGAAACTGTGTCTCAGGGCTTCTTAACATTTAACAACCTATGAATGTGTCATACCCACTTAACGGGAAGAAACTCAGCTAACTGACGATACGAAACAATTTTTCCGAAAACTAAACACAAGTCTCACAAGAAGCGTCTAAATGGGAATGGACGCTCACATTGCCTTTAAATGCCGCCGACATGGACCGATGCGGTGCTTCCCTGAGCGTCAAATACCGCCGCCGATGGGAATACATTGCAATCAGTTGAAAGCTCTTTGCGTCCGTTTATGAAGCTGAAGGAGCCTCGGCGCGTCCCAACTGCACGCCACGGGACCCTGACCAAGCGTCGCTCCTGGACGTTCAGGGAGTGAGAGTGTGTTGGATGTGAAGTGCTTTGTAACTTTGACCCGCTTGACTGAATTCACAAAAAACAATGAAGAAAGAGTTATCTCTGGGCTGCTTCGCTGCCAGCTGCTCCCCGTGGCGTATAGCCTCTACTTCAACATCAATGCATACGATATATGCTGTATTGAACCAATAAACTAACACAAACTAACTGTATCACTATAACATGATGATGATGGTGATGAAGAATGCATCTAACGTTCCGCTGTTCATTATAATACAAAAACAGAGCATTAAACAAACCATCATGCTCTTACTTTGAAATCATGCAGAAATGTCGTCATCAGCAGGCCATCACGTGGTTTCCGAAAATAAACGAGTGACACGAGTAGATTTTAGTCGAGACCGGCGGAAAGTATGTCTCAAAACTCCGTGTGTGTAAAAAGACGATCCACAAGCAGAGATTTGAGATCCGCAAGCGCATTTTTGGTCGACAAATACAAAATGGATTCACAAATGCCTGATCGAAAGTTGTCAATGTTAAAGAGATATTCACAGATCTTTTTTTTATTTGTAAAAATATTTGCAGATCCGTTTTACATTTGCAAATTTATTTGAGAGTTTGTAAATCTTTTAAATGCATTTGTGGATGGTGTTACATTTACAAATCACATATTTACACACGAATTATTTTTCTGTTCACACAAATAATGATGAGACATGCCCATAGTGGGTAAACTTTCAAAATCAGAAAGGGATCAAATTATTACTTCCTCCACTGTATTCCTGTAGTGCAAAGTTCCCGCTGACGCACAGGACCACCAGCCTGTTCCCCTGTCCTCCTTCACCCTGAGTGTGTCTCTGTGGACGCACAGGACCACCAGCCTGTTCCCCTGTCCTCCTTCACCCTGAGTGTGTCTCTGTGGACGCACAGGACCACCAGCCTGTTCCCCTGTCCTCCTTCACCCTGAGTGTGTCTCTGTGGACGCACAGGACCACCAGCCTGTTCCCCTGTCCTCCTTCACCCTGAGTGTGTCTCTGTGGACGCACAGGACCACCAGCCTGTTCCCCTGTCCTCCTTCACCCTGAGTGTGTCTCTGTGTGGACAGACATAATGTGAGCTAATGCTTCATGGTTCCTCCACAGAGGGGACCAGGAGAGCTCGGAGGTTCCCGGTGGTCCGTCTGCCCAGCAGCATCAGACACAGCTGGACTCCATATTTACGGTGAGTACATGTACTACAGATACTTGACCTCTCTTCTGCTCACAGTCATCTCCATGCTGCACTTTTAGAGAGTCAGTCTGTCTGGATCTGATGTTTGGATCCATGGTTTATAGTTTGTGTCGTTCATGTGATGTTCCAGCTGCTGGAGGACCACATCGTCACTTTTGTGAAGAGCGAGCTGAAGAAGATCCAGAAGGCTCTGAGTTCAGATTACCCAGAAGGCTTAGAGAGTCAGAGTGATGATGAGGAGGTGTTGGAGGCTGAGGATGAAGAGCAGAGGAGGAGCAGAGAGGCATTTGTGAACATCACACTGCACTTCCTGAGGAGCATGAAGCAGGAGGAGCTGGCTGACCGTCTGCACCGCAGTAAGAGGGTTTCTATAGAGATGTAACACTCTGGATAAATGTCTCATCTGCTGATGTCTCTAGAGACCAACATATATCCATATTTTATTCAGAGAACCAGAGTTACAGTGGGACCACATGATCTTTTGTTGTGTGTTCTTTCAGGAACTCCTGCTGGAGTGTGTCAGCGTAAACTTAAATCCACCCTGAAGGAGAGGTTCCAGTGTGTGTTTGAGGGCATTGCTAAAGCAGGAAGCCCAACCCTTCTGAACCAGATCTACACAGAGCTCTACATCACAGAGGGGGGGTCTGCAGAGGTCAATGATGAACATGAGGTCAGACAGATTGAAACAGCATCCAGGAAACCAGGCAGACCAGAAACAACCATCAGACAAGAAGACCTCTTTAAAGCCTCACCTGGAAGAGATGCACCAATCAGAGCAGTGATGACAAAGGGCGTGGCTGGCATTGGGAAAACAGTCTTAACACAGAAGTTCACTCTGGACTGGGCTGAAGGCAAAGCCAACCAGGACATCCAGTTCATATTTCCATTCACCTTCAGAGAGCTGAATGTGGTGAGAGAGAACAAGTACAGCTTGGTGGAACTTGTTCATCACTTCTTCTCTGAAACCAGAGACGCAGGAATCTGCAGGTTTGATCAGTTCCCGGTTGTGTTCATCTTTGACGGTCTGGATGAGTGTCGACTTCCTCTGGACTTCCACAACACTGAGATCCTGACTGATGTCACAGAGTCCACCTCAGTGGATGTGCTGCTGACAAACCTCATCAGGGGGAAGCTGCTTCCCTCTGCTCGCCTCTGGATAACCACACGACCTGCAGCAGCCAATCAGATCCCTCCTGAGTGTGTGGACATGGTGACAGAGGTCCGAGGGTTCACTGACCCACAGAAGGAGGAGTACTTCAGGAAGAGATTCAGAGATCAGGAGCAGGCCGGCGCCATCATCTCCCACATCAAGACCTCACGAAGCCTCCACATCATGTGCCACATCCCAGTCTTCTGCTGGATCTCTGCTTCAGTTCTGGAGGACATGTTGAAAACTGAGGGAGGAGAGCTGCCCAAGACCCTGACTGAGATGTACATCCACTTCCTGGTGGTTCAGTCCAAAGTGAAGAACATCAAGTATGATGGAGGAGCTGAGACAGATCCACTCTGGAGTCCAGAGAGCAGGAAGATGATGGAGTCTCTGGGGAAACTGTCTTTTGAGCAGCTGCAGAAAGGCAACCTGATCTTCTATAAGTCCGACCTGACAGAGTGTGGCATCGATATCACAGCAGCCTCAGTGTACTCAGGAGTGTTCACAGAGGTCTTTAGAGAGGAGAGAGGACTGTACCAGAACACAGTGTTCTGCTTCGTCCATCTGAGCGTTCAGGAGTTTCTGGCTGCTCTTCATGTCCATCTGACCTTCATCACCTCTGGAGTCAACCTGCTGGCAGAAGAACCAACAACCTCCCAGCAGTCTGAAGTCTTCAGACCCAAACCTACACCAACAACCTCCTGGCTGCTTAAAGTCTTCAGAGACAAACCTGATCTAACACATCTCTACCAGAGTGCTGTGGACCAGGCCTTACAGAGTCCAAACGGACACCTGGACTTGTTCCTTCGCTTCCTCCTGGGTCTTTCACTGCAGACCAATCAGAAACTCCTACGAGGCCTGCTGACACAGACAGGAAGTGGCTCAGAGACCAACCAGGAAACAGTCCAGTACATCAAGAAGAAGATAGAAGAGGATCTGTCTGCAGAGAGAAGCATCAACCTGTTCCACTGTCTGAATGAACTGAATGATCGTTCTCTAGTGGAGCAGATCCAACAGTCCCTGAGTTCAGGAAGTCTCTCCACAGAGAAACTGTCTCCTGCTCTGTGGTCAGCTCTGGTCTTCATCTTACTGTCATCAGGAGAAGATCTGGAAGAGTTTGACCTGAAGAAATACTCTGCTTCAGAGGAGGCTCTTCTGAGGCTGCTGCCAGTGGTCAAAGCCTCCAACAAAGCTCTGTAAGTACAGATAATTTGATTTAGTGAATCAGTTATTAATACACTGCTGTCTCCTGAATAACTGTTGTCCTCATCGTCTCTTCAGGCTGAGTGGCTGTAACCTGTCAGAGAGAAGCTGTGCAGCTCTGTCCTCAGTCCTCAGCTCCCAGTCCTCCAGTCTGAGAGATCTGGACCTGGGTAGCAACAACCTGCAGGATTCAGGAGTGAAGCTGATGTCTGCTGGACTGGAGAGTCCACACTGTGAACTGAAGACTCTCAGGTCAGAGCACAGAACAGATTGACTTAGCCAGCAATACAAGTTAATACCAACATCAGCCATGTTGTTGTGGTGTGGGTATACCATCACTCACATCTGTATCTTTGTAATGCAACACGTTCACATGCATGCATCATATTTTGGTTAGCTACATTCAACTGACGTTACTTTAGCCAGAGCCTTAGCTAGCTTTGTTTTAGCAACCAACATAAATAAATGAATCAATGTAAAACCGACAATCAGTGCCTCTGTTCTATATATTTGTAGCGCACGTCTGCAAAAGGGTTTCGTTTTTATTTAATACAAAAATTAAACATCTTAAAATCTCTAATTTCTGCGTCTACACAGGGCTTTCACGCTGCCCTTTAATTAGCTGTTCTGAAAAGACGGTCCCTGGTTAAACCTCTCTTATATTTCTTTGAACCATCAGCTCCAGGTACGTTAACCTGCCTCTCTCAGCTCAGGATTTCTTAATGTCCATTAATTCAGGATTTTCAGTGTAAAAATATTTGAAATGTTACTTTTCACTTGCATATCATACCTTATCCAATGGGATTAAGTGTCAACACAAATGTTGTTTCTCTTTTTGTTCATTATGTTCTCTTCAGGCTGAGTGGCTGTAACCTGTCAGAGAGAAGCTGTGCAGCTCTGTCCTCAGTCCTCAGCTCCCAGTCCTCCAGTCTGAGAGAGCTGGACCTGAGTAACAATGACCTGCAGGATTCAGGAGTGAAGAAGCTGTCTGCTGGACTGGAGAGTCCACACTGTGACCTGAAGACTCTCAGGTCAGAGCAAAGTACAGTTTGACTTAGCCAGCAGTAATAGTCAATACCAACATCAGCAATGCTGTTGTGGTTTGGGATCACCATCATGGATATTATCATTGTAGTGAAACAAGACACAATTCACAAAATGATAATTAGCACAGACTTCTTTAAAGCCTCTACAAAGAGCTTCATTGTTGTTGATTTGGCACAAGTGTTAGACCTACAGCACTCATTTGGGTAGTTTCAGCCGAGCACCTCCTAGTCTGAGGCCGAGGTGGATTGCTCCATCCGTGTTGGCTGGGAGTTTCGGCCCAAGCGAGGAACTTCAATAATCTCAGGGTCTCATTAACGAGTGAGGGTCAAATGAAGCGTGAGATCAGGGGTCTCAAACTCGAGGCCCGGGGGCCAAATCCGGCCCGCGACTTCATTTTATGTGGCCCCGCAAGAGCTTGCAAAGAATATAATGCGTTTATTATACGGTTACATGCTACTTTACAGAAGCAGGTTGCCCATAAACTACATGTCCCACAATGCATCTCGTTTTGTGACATGCGCACTGAAGAGACTTGCAATTATTTGCCCTGGACTTCTGCTTTCAGACGTAGTTAATTACTAAGTTATTATCCTATCCGATAATAATCCAATTCAGAGACAATAATGTAATATAATGAATTATTTTATATATATATAATATATTTATATAGTTACAACCGGCCCTTTGAGTGCAACCTTTATGCGAATGTGGCCCGCGATGAAATTGAGTTTGACACCCCCTTGTTAGTCTTACCAGGAGCACGAGGTTCTGGAGGGTGTGAATATCTGGGTTTAGTCCGTGGGGGAGTGCTTAACTGCGGGGGCCCGGGGACTCATGGTGTGCAAGGTTATGGAGGAGTGCCACTGTTAGGGACTCATGCTGGAGGTCTCTAGTCCGTCCTTTGGGGGTCTGTGAGCCGCCACATAGAGACTGCATTTAAACAGATTCACCAGTTTATAACATTACTTTAGCCCTGATCAGAGCCCTGTTTTCTGGGTAAGATAGCGAGGTGCTGTACCCTGGGTCTCTGGGTCTATGGGTCTCTGAGACCCTGCTAACAGCAGTGACTCTGCTGCCTGCATTTAAACAGATTCACCAGTTTAAGACTGCATGACAACATGCATTGTAGTTCTGGCACATGTTCAGATTCTGCTATTTCTGCTGAAATAGCACAATGTGAACTACCAGTTTTCATTAAATGACTCTGTCTCCTGAATTAAAACATTTCCCACGACTTTGACCACTAATGTACCCATGATTCAGACACTTATTCCTGGGTACATGTGTTATCTGTTCCCCCCTGGGTGTGTGCTAGAAGTTAAAACACACTTAAAACCTCCTAAATTAAAACATTTCCCACGACTTTAAACACTAATGTACCCATGATTCAGACACTTATTCCTGGGTTAATATATCATCTTTTCCCCCTGGGTGTGTGTATGTCTGCCTGTGAGTGTGATATGCTGCTTAAAGCAGTGATTCTGCTGTTTTTAGCTTCTTGTACATTTAACAAAATAAATATGATTAATATGTACATTGTTCTGTCTATACTGACACGTTCATGTCCATAACTCCGTATGTTTATGTCGTCCAATGTACACTGTCTAAAAACGACAATAATGAGTGAATTAAAACATTTTGGCCGCTCATAGGCGGCCTGCCATGCGCACCTTGAGTCCCCGGGCCCCCTGACGTAAGCACACTGCCTTGGACAAAACCCGCATGTGCATAACTGCCAGACAAGCGTGCCCCTGGTAACCTAAAACTATGAAAAGTGTCTGAGTGTCAGGAGTCCGCAGTTGGATGCTTAAGGGCGGACGGTAGACCACCACAAAATCCACCCCTGCGTTAGATGGACAAGCAGTTTGTTGCAGAGTCAGCTGAGCTGGAGGCAAAACTCTCTATTTACCAGTCCGTCTACGATCAACCCTTACTCACCGTCATGAGCTTTAGGTAGTCACTGAAAGGATGAGATCACAGAAACAAGCAGTCTCAATGGGCGTCAGATTAAAGCTTCTTCTGTGCAGTGACTGGGCTCAGAGATTGGGTATTTCCAGCCTCAATAGGCCACACTGTGAGCGTCTGAGACGATCTACCTGGTGGTGTTGGAGGTCTGATGTCCAAACTGTAGTAGAGTGTCAGCTGCAGATCTTCTTGTAGTCATCTCTCTGTGTCTTTGTTCACATTATTCTCTATTCCTTTGTTTGATGATCTGTTCATATCAATAAGACCCTTACCATGGCTGTCCAGTTGACTTGTGAAGCAGTGACTGGAGTTTTAGGTGTAGAGATGACCCAGAGGTGAAGCAGTAATAAGCCCCCCCCCTTCCAGTCCTGGACCCTCAGATGATCTGACGGCTTGTTTGTGTGTCTGCAGGCTGTCAGGCTGTCTGATCACAGAGGAAGGCTGTGATGCTCTGGCCTCAGCTTTAAAGCACTCCCATCTGAGAGAGCTGGACCTGAGCTACAATCATCCAGGAGACTCAGGGGGGAGGCTGCTGTCTGCTGGACTGGACACGCTCAGGTATGGAGAGGCACTCATTCTGATAGAGGAGGTAGAAACTGGCTCCTATGACCTGAAACAACCAGAGCTGATAGACCCTGACTCTTCAGCTTTAAATTCAGAATAAAACAACTAAAGAACAGAGAAGTATAAAAGGGATTAGCAATCTGAAATGAAGACCAAAACAGAAATATGAAGCGCATAGTGAACCAATGAGAAAGCAGCAGTTAGTGGACCTATCAGATCATTTCACAGACTAATGGTGCGTTCACAGAGAGAGAGAGAGAGAGAGAGAGAGAGAGAGAGAGAGAGAGAGAGAGAGAGAGAGAGAGAGAGAGAGAGAGAGAGAGAGAGAGAGAGAGAGAGAGACTCTCTCGAGAGAGATAGCTCTCTATCTCTTATCGCCGCTCTCTCTCTCTCTCGCTCTCTCTCTATCTCTCGCTCGCTCTCCTCTCTCTCGCATTCTCTCTCTATCATCTCTCTCTTCTCTCTCTCTCTGCTCTTCTCTCTATCTCTCTCTCTCTCTCTACACCACCATCGCTGATCTATCTCTCTCTTATATCGCTCAGTAGATGCCCCTGACCCCTAGAGGAGGTGAGGTCCCACAGACACAAGGTTATAAAGGTCAGCATATCATCATGTTAAAATGTGCCTAAATATATTACACTGCAAAAAAACTAAAAAAGAGGAGGAAAAGAAGTAGCTCCACGACTTGTTTTATTTTTTGAAAGTAGCCCTCACCCTAAAGGTTGGAGACCCCTGATCTAGAGGCTCTGGTAGATACTATATTAACATACAGTGATGTAATTGTAATAGAGGTTTCAAAATGCTAGTGAAATCAGGACATACTGATACTGGTTAGTGAAACACATGAATGAATGCTCTGGTGTTCTGACTCACAGCAGTTACAGGGTCACGCACATTTGACACTCAATCCATACAAATGGGACCTATCTGCCGTCTTTGCATTGGACTTACATGTAACGGCGATGCGCCCGGTGTGAACGTACCTTAACTGACCAGTGAGACATGTTTCCATGCTGACCCCCCCCCTCTGCTTTCAGCCTGGAGCCTGCTGCAGTCCGGTTCTTGAGGCCAGGTCTCAGGAAGTGTAAGTGTGTTTTTAATCATGAACATCTTCACACTGGGACATCACAGGGACTTTAGTAACCTTTAATACCTGCTGTGTCTCTCATCAGATTCCTGTGGACTCACACTGGACTCAAACACAGTGAGCAGAAGACTCACACTGTCTGAGGACAACAGGAAGGTGACACGTGTGAGAGAGAAGCAGAACTATCCTGATCATCCAGAGAGGTTTGACTCCTGGCCTCAGCTGATGTGCAGAGAAGCTCTGACTGGTCGCTGTTACTGGGAGGTCGAGTGGAGAGGAGAGGTTACTATATCAGTGACTTACAGAGGAATCAGGAGGAGAGGAGGCAGAGAGGACTGTTGGTTTGGAGGGAATGATCAGTCCTGGAGTCTGAGCTGCTCTGATAGAAGTTACTCTGTCTGTCACAATAACAGAGGAACAAAGATCCCCTCCTCCTCCTCCTCCTCCTCCTCCTCCTCCTCCTCCTCCTCCTCCTCCTCCTCCTCCTCCTCTGATAGAGTAGCAGTGTATCTGGATCATCCTGCTGGCTCTCTCTCCTTCTACAGAGTCTCCTCTGACACACTGACCCACCTCCACACCTCCAGAGCCACATTCACTGAACCTCTCTATGCTGGGTTTAGGTTATGGTTACTTGGTCTCCCTGCCTCAGTGTCTCTGTGTTCTCTGCAGGAGTGAGACCCCCCCCCCCCCCCCCCCCCCCTGATTCCTCAGTGTCTCTGTGTTCTCTGCAGGAGTGAGACCCCCCCCCCCCCCCCCCCCTGGTTCCTCAGTGTCTCTGTGTTCTCTGCAGGAGTGAGACCCCCCCCCCCTGGTTCCTCAGTGTCTCTGTGTTCTCTGCTGGAGTGAGACCCCCCCCCCCCCCACCTGGTTCCTCAGGGTCTCTGTGTTCTCTGCAGGAGTGAGACCCCCCCCCCCCCCACCTGGTTCCTCAGTGTCTCTGTGTTCTCTGCTGGAGTGAGACCCCCCCCCCCCACCTGGTTCCTCAGGGTCTCTGTGTTCTCTGCAGGAGTGAGACCCCCCCCACCCCCCCCCCCCCCCGGTTCCTCAGTGTCTCTGTGTTCTCTGCAGGAGTGAGACCCCCCCCCCCCCCCCCTGGTTCCTCAGTGTCTCTGTGTTCTCTGCAGGAGTGAGACCCCCCCCCCCCCCCCTGGTTCCTCAGTGTCTCTGTGTTCTCTGCAGGAGTGAGACCCCCCCCCCCCCACCTGGTTCCTCAGTGTCTCTGTGTTCTCTGCAGGAGTGAGACCCCCCACCCACCCCCCCCCCTGGTTCCTCAGTGTCTCTGTGTTCTCTGCAGGAGTGATACCCCCCCCCCCCCCCCCCCCCCCCTGGTTCTTCAGTGTCTCTGTGTTCTCTGCAGGAGTGAGACCCCCCCCCCCCCCCCACCTGGTTCCTCAGTGTCTCTGTGTTCTCTGCAGGAGTGAGACCCCCCCCCCCCCCCCCCCCCCCTGGTTCCTCAGTGTCTCTGTGTTCTCTGCAGGAGTGAGACCCCCCCCCCCCTGGTTCTTCAGTGTCTCTGTGTTCTCTGCAGGAGTGAGACCCCCCCCCCCCCCCCCCCCCTGGTTCCTCAGTGTCTCTGTGTTCTCTGCAGGAGTGAGACCCCCCCCCCCCCCCCCCTCACCACCAGTACTCAGGTCTGTTACTGCAGTAAAAGTAGTAATACTACCACAGTGTATAAGTACTCTGTAGAAGTACTGGGTTCCTGGGATATACAGTATTATATCACTGGATTATAATTAGTGATGCATTCATGTGTTCTTCATTTGAACTGTGCCGCCGGTAAAGGTGGAGCTAACTTTAATGTCTTTTATACTCAAAGGTATTTTATATATCCTTATTAGTACATCATAATTCATTATCTTATATTTTCTATTACAAATATGAACAGGCAAAGAAACTGGATCATTATTTGTGGAATAGAAGTATTAAATAGCAGGAAATGGAAGTACTCAAGTGAAGTCCAAGTACCTCCAAATGGTACTTGGACAGTACTTGAGTGAATGGTCTTAGTCACTGTCCACCTCTGGGTAGATGTTGGTGGTAAAGGTAGACATGAACCCAGATTCAAACTGACCTGAGGCAGATTACAGAGGGAGTGGAAACTCAAAGAAACAACTGAAACTAAGAGAGAGAAACTTTATGATTTCCACCTCCAGAGTTCTGACCAATCAGACGGACTCTTCCTGAGAGCGTTTCCTGACGCTCCTTCGCCCCTCAGCAGAGACGTTATCTGTGCTCTTTGAAACCAGATCACTTAGAAAACAAAGCTTCAGATTCAGAGCCACTCTGGTTTGTGTCTTTGTCTCCAAATGTCTTGCTGTTTCTCCACATTTATGAATGTTCACGCTTTGCTTGGTTCAGCTTGGTTCTCCTTTTGTAAGAGCACTGAGAGAAATACAGACGTCCTTTATGTTCACATAGTTTGTTAATGAAGCTGATTCTGAATGATCATAATGGACATTAGTACTGATCGCTGATGAAATAACAAGAGCCACTGCCATGCTGTCATAATCCCTCTGAGCACTAGAGGGCAGCAGTCACTTCAATATAACCCTTCTTAATATTCACCAATCAGTGCTGGCTGTGATCACTGGGAAAGTGACATCATGTCTCCTTTCATCTGGAGTCAGGATGTACCGGAGGATTCTCTCTGCAGACCACATTGGTGTATTGTAATCTTTAACATCTACAGTAAACATATTCAAAGTGAGTTCTGGAGTCTGTCTCATTTTCTGACCTGTTTAATGAATGTGTCAGGTATGAATGTGAAACCATTGATCCCAGTTGAAGATGTATGAATGAGATCATGTTGGCGAGCCAGGAGAGGATTGTTCTCTGAACAGAACCCCGACAGAACAATGTGTAACAATCAGCTTTATTTCAAACCCAGTTACCACTGAAATGATTCAGGAGCCATTGTGGTTCTTCAACCAAAGAGAGTGTGATGAAAGAGTGTCCTCTCAATCAGGGGTTTTCAAAGTGTGAGGCGCGTCTCCCCTAGGGGGCGCCAGAGAGCTTCAGGGGAGGTGCAGCTGTTCCCACTAAAGTAGGGGTGAGTGTAATAAGGAGGCACAGTTGACGTTCAGTGTGTTGCTGGGAGCAGATAAGGATGTTGGAAATGTAAAAAATGTTTAACAAAGATGTGTTGAGAACACGGTGTGTGAAAATATCCGGGTGGTGCTGCAGCTGGATTTGCCTGTCCTCTGTCAGAAGGTGTCGGCGACTGCCATGCGAGGAAGAACGGCTGTATGGCGGCAAATCTCTGTCATAAACCGCGAGGGCATATGAGATCCACGCGAGCACAAGTCAAGCAGCCGCGGACGTATATTATTTCCGCGAGCACTAAAACGGCACTCGCGCGAGAGCAGTATTGAAGCAGGGGAGAAACATGCCTTGAGCATGTGCAGCATCTACATGAGCTCTCCTTGGTCTCCTGCGCTCTGCTCGTGAAACTCTGGCCTGCTCTCACTCGCGGAGACATTTTAGGAAGTGGGCGTACCCTATCCCAGTAACGCCAAATCTAATTGGTTACACCCCTCCTCTTTTATGATTGGCCGTTTTCAAATGACGAGAGATATCGGAGCGGGAAAGCCCCGCAGAAGAAGAATGGCCGACGACAAGGAGGTACGTACAAAGGTACGGTACTTTTAGCATATAGAAAACTATGGTTTAACATAACTATCATTTGATCTGCTTGACGGGCATTTCAGATATTGACATTGCATTATTTACAAGCCACGGTATAAGAAGAAAGTGACACAGCTGTCTGCCCGCAATAATAAAAGTTAGCTAAAGTGAACTGTCAGCAGATCTGGATAAACAAGATGTCATGTCAAGGAGTCAAGATAATATAAGAAGCACTTTATTGATCCCAATTTGGGGACATTTTGTATGTATTACTGTAGTTTCCCAATCCACTGAAGTACTACTGGTCCCAAATCAGCTTCAACAGAGGTGACATGTGTGGAGGGTTATAGTTCTAACTGCACACTTGTTTTGCTCTTCCCACATAGATATCATATATACTTATGCAATCATATTCCAAAATGGTACGAAGGGGCCTGGATGCTACATAAAGCTGCTGGTAAGATAACATCTCCATTATTACATTCAACTGTGGTCTAGTATTTCTGCAGTTAAACCCTCTATCTTCTCCTACAATAGCTGCTCTTATAATAGCTCAATGCCCTTGATGGTTAGCATATTTACCTACCCTCTTGTTTTTAGCAATCCATGAGAAAGCCTGCAAGTGTGCATCTTGTTAAAATCAACTGCCTCCCCTAGAACATTCTGTGCATTAAATAACATCCTGTTTGTACACATTCCCACATAGGAGGATCAGGCCAGCTGCTTGGCACCTGAGGCAGAGGGTTACACGGGGGCCTACCTTGCCAAAGCTTTAGGTGGAAAAGGCTGTCTCTATATAATGCCCATCCAGGACACTTTAGACACCTCCCCCTTGCCCTACTCATCAAAGGAGTTTGAAAATATTCCAAAAGCCAGATGTGCCACGTGTCATCTAAGCATGCCTGTCCAGCTGTTGGCTTTACACGCACAAGAGTGTGAACCAAGCAGCTGTTCTGACCGCATGGATCTGGAACCGGTAATGTTATTCCACAAATAACTATGCAGGATCATTGTCATACTGAATCCACAGCTTTTTTTAACTGGTTACGATTTTCAGGATCTGGACCCAGATTTAGATGAGGCTCCAGCTACAAGCAATCCTGGGAATGTAAGCTCACTAATATTGTAGGTGTTTGTTTCTAAACAATCTTCATTGTATGTGTCATTAATTGGAAGTCTTTCTACATTTTATTATAGGCTTCTCCAAGTGTGCTCCCGTGTAGGACCTCCTGTTCTAAAATCGATATTAAGGTCAAATCAGGGCATTATTTATCAATTATTGCAGATGATGAAGGTTTCTGCGTCTCAGTAATTCACTTGAATATTTGCTCTGCTTTTCTGTATTTTTAAAGGTGTCCTGTCCTGTCCTGTGCTCAGAGTTATTTCCTGAGTGTTTTGTTGAAATACATGCCAGCACTTGTAGAGAAAGGGTTTTATTCTCCTATTATGCACATTCTTTATATACTTTTTTCTTGCAGTGTTAGATATTGTAAACCATGATTAAGGCATGCCCCATTGAAATCTTTTTTCCCTCATCAATACATTGCAGTCGACACAAATGATCGATTTGGAAGAACATGCCAGTGAAGAACTGACAGGGCGAGTGAAAAGGTAATATGCTTCAAATGTACCTGTAATTGCTTATTTTAAACAAAAACGCCCCGGCGCTTTTTACCCCAGGGCACTTAGTACCCCCAGGGCACTGAGTACCCCCAGGGCACTTAGTACCCCCAGGGCACTTAGTACCCCCAGGGCACTTAGTACCCCCAGGGCACTTAGTACAGATCGCGTTCACACCAAGTACTTTTCCCTGAGGGGAGATTACGCAAATGAGCCGCTGACGTCACTTCTTCTTCTTCTGCTTTGGCTTTACTGGCAGGCCACAAACCACTTCACGGCGAGTACAGTAGGTGGCGGTACGCACCTTAAAGTTGTTTGCAATCCGCTGCAAAACAAGAGAAGAAGAAGAAGAAAAACTTCCCTTGTATACTGCGACGCCCACCCACTCGCCGTACATTAGGCGTCTGTTGTTTACGACCTCAGACATGATGGAGATGGAGTCGACTGAAGTTGTGCTGTTTGTGCTCATGTTATACAGCTTTGTAACTGAGTTCATGCAGCCTGAGCAACTTGCGTACAATAACAAGCCGAGCACGAGTGGTGGTGGAGAACGCTTCTGGCAGACTGAAGGGCAGGTGGCGGTGCTTGATGAAAAGAAACGACTGCAAGATGGACAAGATCAAAACCCAGGTGGCAGCATGTTGCATATTACATAACCTTTGTGAAAGTAATGAGTACAGGGACGAATGGACTGCCTTACCGGAGACCCAGCTTGATGGGCCAGCCATTGCCGAGGCTGGGGGGCAAGACACGCCACAGCCCTTATGAGGCATCTGAACAGCCCTTATGAGGCATCTGAACAGCCCTTATGAGGCATCTGAACAGCCCTCATGAGGCATCTGAACAGCTCTCATGAGGCATCTGAACAGCGTGTACATTGTACGTTGTAAGTGACATCACATACTGTTCCAGTCAAAATGTTTTTGAAACAAATGGTGAAGTTGGGGAACCATTATACTTTTGAGCTGTATTTTGTGTCGATTGTTGTTTCAATTTAATGGAATAAAAACCCAGTCACCAGTTGTGCCAAGTAACTTTACTCGCTGTTAGTAGTGCGTGAGGCCATATGTACAGACATGTACATGGGACATGAAAACAGTGCATCTCATATTGACAAAAATAAACCTCGCTAACCAAGTTTTCCAAATCACTCTAAAAATAAGCCGTTGTGATACACGTGTAGACAACGTCTGCAGAATCATAAATCATCATTACATTGGGGTCATTAAACCATTATTTCGCTAAGGTAAAAAACATTAAAGTTTGGGATTTTAGTGTAATTCACAAATGTTCCACCAGATGGTGCCACACACACCCAGGGGGAAAAGATGATATATTAACCCAGTAATAAGTGTCTGAATCATGGGTACATTAGTGTTTAAAGTCGGGGGAACTGTTTTAATTCAACAGGAGAGTGTATTTCAAGTGTTACCCGGTGAGCAGCGCAACACACTCTCACTCCCAACGCGTCCAGGAGCGACGCTTGGTCAGAATTCCGTGGCGTCCAGTTGTGACGCGCCGAGTTTCCATCAGCGTCATAAACGGATGCAAAGAGCTTTCAACTGATTGCAATGTATTCCCATCGGCGTCGGTATTTGACGCTTAGGGAAGCACGGCATTCGTTTGTGTCGGCAGCTGTTAAAGGCAATGTGAGCGTCCATTCCCATTGGATAACGGAGAATTGTACACCCGGAAGTAAGTATTCTCCTTACTGTCGATTGATTTGACAGTGATATCTCCATTACTCATCCACTCAAAAACACCAGATTACCTTTGTTAATTAAACGACATTGATAGGTTTAAATTGTGTACAATGCTTTTGTGTTTTTCCCCTACAATTCTGAGACAACTTGTTTTCTCTGAAATGTGGAGCGCCAAAGAGACTACACTACCCACAATCCCCAGCTATTGTTGTGATTGTCTGTCCGCTTTGCGACAAAACCTCGTGATAAGTCAACAAGCTCTGTGATTGGATGAAACATAAATAGGTGATATCTGCACTACTCATTAACTAAAAACCACCAGATTATCCTTGTTAATGAAACGATATTGATAGGTTTTAGTGTAAAATGCTTTTGTCACGTTTTCCCCTTCAATTCTGAGAAACAAGTAGTTTTGAGTTTTGGATGGCCGAAGACACTACACTACCCACAATCCTCAGCTATCTTCGCGAGGCCAGGTCTCGAGGTCACGTAGTTCACGTGATACATTGCTCGGAACCTTGAGACACCAGCAAGGTAAGCTGTAATAAACTCGACTGCTCACTTAATTTTCGACAATATTCAAATATAACTCAAATAAAATATTTGGGTTATGTATTCAAGTCCCACCCAGGCAGCAGGATTCGTAAGACAGTACGAGAAACTTAAAGAAAATGTAGTCTGTAACAGTTATTTTCTTTTTTGTAATAACGGATCATTTAGAAGCTAGCATTAGCCACCGTGTGGCTAGCTAGCTGTGTTAGTACAATGTCGTAGTCATCAAAGGAGCTAGCACTGTTAGTTGTATCGCTCATCAAAACAAAGAGGACTCTCTGGAGCGAAAGTATTTGTAATTATTATTATTTATTTATTATTTATTACTTAGCGGGAGTGTTTTACATGTTCGGTGTAATGACGTAAAATGTTTAGGACGCGTCACTGCGGTTGCTGGTCATTTGTTTTTTTTACCATAAGCTGTCATCAAGAAGGAATGCCATCATTTAATGTCATGATGTTTATATGTGAACAAATTACACAGTACATTAGAAGTCAGTACACATTAGCCTAATTATTAACAGAATGTTAATTGGCGTTTAAATGTTACATTCTATTATACAAAAACCCCACTTGTCATTTGTGTTTGAATATATTGAATATTCACATATGAATATATTAATTTGATTCAAACCATTGGAAGTTTGCGCACTATCTCAAGTATTCACAGCATATTAGACTGTATCTTCTGTCTCTCCAATTGCATTTAATATAGAGCATGAACTTAATAACATATTTGTGTATTTGAGAACAAATTGATCAACTGACAGCAAACATTTTTGAGATAATCCCTCTATGTTTAACTTTCATTTGCAGAATGACAAAGCCCAAAAAACAACTGTGCCCCTCCTGCCAGGCCCCAAATTCCCTTGGGCGTAAAACATGTGTGGCGTGTGTCTGCCCCCTTCAAATAAATAAAAAATGTTAAAAAAAAGAAGCGGAATTAAAGGACTCTAGCTGGGGGGCTTCTGTGAAGAGCAACAGGAACGCCAGCAGGACCGTTAAGTCGGCCGAGCTATCTGTGAGTTTAAATTACTTATTATTTAAGATGTTTGGCCTCTCAGACGATTACATATCTTATTTGTCAAACAGCCTTGCCCTCAGTGAATGTGAAACCATTTTTTTCTGGCTTTAAAAAGATTTGTATCATTGATCAATGTGCCTGTATGCAATCTTTTTCGCTCCAATTCTTGCAGGTTCTTAAACTACACACCCTTGGCTCCAGTCCGGTCCTTTTCCTTTCCAATAAGGGCCGCAGTGGGGAGATCCGTGGGGATCTGGTCCACCATTTTGGAAATGCTGATGGGGTCGTTAGGGAGATCCTACTCAAAATGAGGAAACTCTATGAGTACCTCCTGAAAAGTAAGATCATCCTTGTACTTTATTATCTCATTGTGTAGTCGTCCATGGGCTTTGTGTCAATGCATTCATCAAATTCACACTTCTGTTCCATCTATCCCGTTATATCATCAAAATGTCATCCCCCCCCTGAGCCTTTTTTATATAATACAACCTATGCTGTATTATAGAACAAAGGCTGTCAACATGGGCTTGTCAGGGCCAGCATGTTATCACTGTGAACACTAAGATACTAATATGAGGGTACCACACTAATGGTATTGCAGTTACCTACTTTTTAGTTTTTATTTATAATTAATTATTTGTATGCATATTTCTATATTTTGTATTGTGTTTTAAGCCTGTACAGCACTTTGGACAACATTGAAATGTGCTATACACAAATATTTAAAGGGTTGAATTGAATGCAAATGTCGACATTACTCACCTGTAGTTAGCAAGCATGCACGTTATGCATGTGTCTGTAATACAAACACATCTCTTCAGGCATCATAAAGATATGAGGCTGCTCTGTTTTCCCAGTTTGTAACTCTTGCCTCCTCTCTTCATGTCTTAATCCCTCTCACATGAGATGGGAGAAGAGGAGGAGACACCTCGAGAGACGAGTTGAGGCAAAAGACATTCAATGAAATTAGACATCATGACACTCCTACCTCGCACCCTAATGTCCAGGACACACATGGTGCCGTACGCTGCACGTGTGCTTATCATTACGGCTTATGCTTTTTGTCTGGGCATCCGTAGAAACATGTCAGAGCACCCACAGTTTCGAAATGACACAGAAGAAAAGTCATGCCTATTTTCTTCTGTGAGACGCACGTGGTTCTTTGCAAAAACATACCCGGCAACAACCTGTCAAAAGTCTTATCACCATGTTTCATTACAGATTTAATGTATTTATCTGCAAGTTTTAAATGATTTCTAGTTTAATGAGAGAAGCTGCTCCAGACTGCAACTACATTTTCATTATGATCATGGTCTTAACTAAATACGATAAGTTGTTGTGTTAAACACTGATATGAGAAACATAGCAATATGTCTACAGTCAGCTGTGGTAGCTTAAAAACATTATTTTCACACTACCTGCATTTCATTCACTTAAGAACTACCTGGTTGATTTATAATAAGAGGGAAATTCAATGCATTTAATTAATTTCTTGCAAGTAAGGCCAAAAATAAGTCTTCCTTAAAATGT